GGGTGCCCGCCTGCCCGCACACGTGTGCGCCGCAGGCAGGGCACTGCCTCGGCCGAGCTGCACCTCCCGGCACCGCTGGGCTGCTGCGGCCTCGCGCCCCTGGAGCCGGCCCCCGGGCAGCTCTTCTGCCAGCTGTGCGGGTGCGAGGAGAGGAGGGTGCTGCCCGCGGGTGCCAGGGCTCTCCTTGCACGGATGGGCGGACGTCGGTGGCGCTGGTGCCCTAGAGCGCAAGGAAACCGTGGGCAGCGCTTGAGAGACAGAGGACGGGAAGGCTATGGTTCCCTCATATTTGCTGGGAGGGAGTATTTAGGGTTACCAAGGTTTGCAACTGGTCAGGAAATGCAGTGCTTCAGCACAGTGGCAGGAGGTGCAGCAGGCTTCAGCTCCGTTCCAGCCTTTGCACTGAGGTGGGGCTCCTGGCAGCTGCAGATAGATGCCAGAATGTCGCGCCGCGCCTTCGTCCACACCCGGCGAGCTGGGATCAGGATGAAGCAGTGTCCTGGCATCTGTAATTGCCATGTACTGCACTCTGCTCCCTTGGAGCTGGGGGGTGATCCTGGGGCTGAGCAGTGTTCTCAAGGCTGTAGGTTGACCCTCTCCTCTTGGTGGCGGGAACTCAGTTGCTGGAGCTCCACGTGTTGTGACTTCCAAAGATTTATTAGAGCAGTTAAGATGATGGAAGAAAAGCCTTGGCTGTGCCCCTGTGGCTTTAAGATGGCAGTGACTAGTGAAGCTTGGAGGGCGTGGGATCAAAACCCATGAAAACCTGCTGTGTGTGTATCAGTGTGGGAGACCAAAGAGGAGCTGGAGCAAATCTCTAGCAATCCCAGAGAGAAAGAGAAGGCTCTTTAATAAACAAGGAGGGAAACCAAATCCGCAGTGACTCCCCTATGGCTGAGCCAACCCAGCTGCCTTTTTAAACTAGTCTGTTAAGCAAAATGAAAAGCAGTGAGGAAACACAATGATGCTTAAAAAAATTATTTTGTAGCCATAGCTACCGATAAAAAGCAGGTAGGAGAGCTACTTGGAAAAACTGGCTACCCATAAATTAGTAAGTCTAGCTCAGACGCTGCTTAGTAGAAATTAGTAGGAGCCAGGAGGAAAGATTTAAATTCTAAGGTATGGGTAGGATTGGCTGTGGTGTCTGCTGAACTCCCTTGCAGTTCTTCCTGTAATAGGATGGAGAAACCCAGCTGTACCTGATTTCTTTTTTATTAGCATAGCATTAATCTTTTTTTCTTTAAAAAAAAAAAAAAAAAAAAAGGGGAAAGGAACCTTGCTGTTAGTCCAATCATGTGAACTTCACACCTTTAGTAAAATAATGGAAGAAATGGTGAGGATGAATCTGAAAGTACTTGGAAGGTAATTGAGCCAAAAAGAGATACTTTTATCAAGCCTAAATCATTTTGAGTGACTTGAGAATTTTTCTGATGAATTACAGTCCCCTTTTGGGTGAAAGGGGTTTGCTTTAGGTGTATTGTGTATATCATTTATTATAATACTTCTATATGTTGTCTTTCATGAACTCTTCAAATAGCCTAAGATCACCAATTTTTAAGGTGTGTTAAGGTTGTGCACATGTAGACCTGCACCCTTAAAGCGCCTTAAAAATGGCTAATGCTTCTTAAATTGGCACGTGCAGATGCATCCAATGATACTTAAATAGATGTGTAATAGCTGCATTTTTGAGAAAAATAATATGTATGAGTTAAATAGTGGTAAAGAAGTTTGTGGCAGGGTTGATAATGCTAGGAGAAATATAAAGGTGAGAGCAGTCAGAAAAATGGATGTACTTGTTGCAAAACAACATGGCCAAACTGTCTGAGTGATTTTTTTTTTTTGGTATGCATGGGTGGCTCGTGTCATAGAGTTGACACAGCCTGTGTCTGTGGCATGAGTACAACCTCATCTGGAATACAGATCATAATATGGGCAGTCCCTGACAAAGGCAGACAGGAGAGGGGCAAGAGAGCAGAAATGAGATGGACAAAAATCACTGGTTTTATGGAAAAATATTTTTATATACATTTAAAAAAATAAACTTGTTTGAAATTAAATTTGAGATTATGGCAATTATGTTGAGGCTTTAACAATCCATTAAAACTATATCAAACAAAAAAGATTCAACAATAAGCCCTCCTCAAAGTTTTATGAGTCAAAAGGTGCTGCTTTTCAATTACCCATGGAACTTGGGCAGGGTGGAGGGGGTGGATCTTATCTTTTGAAGTCGACTTAAGAGTTGTAGATATGTCCCAGTATCATGTACTGTGGAAAATAAGTATCTATATTGTTTTCAGCCTTTAAAATGAGTGAATGCATTTATAGTTTCCTACATGTCCATACTTTCAATTTCTGTATGTGCAGAAAAGTTAATATTTAAATTACTTTTAGTTTACTTAAGTAGCAGGTTGAGAGAGAACAGTTTCCTCTTTTGGACTAGTTTATTCAATTTTATAAACCAATTGGGAGATGAAAAAGCAAAAAAGCTTATTTTCCTCTTCTGATATATTAATAGAAATGTGGTTGAAGAGGATGAGATCTATTAATTCTAAAATATTGAAAGACTTGGGTCAGTTTTGCAAAATAAACTAGGTATCAAATAATGCAGAGATGCCCATTGGTTTTTTCTAAAGCACTTACAAGATTTTAAATGGGAGTTAGGTAACTAACCTACTTCAACATTTTTTTAAAAGCCCACTAAACAAGTAACTAACATCTTCAGGGATCCCAATGCTTTTCCTTCTGGTCACGACAGGCTAGATTTTAATTCTGAAATTCACTAACTACACTTAATATTTCCTTTGTTTAATAAATCAAGTAGATTTTTTCATAATTTTTTTTGATTATGTACTGAATCCATATAAGGTAATATTGCTGAATTAAAGACCATTTAAAATATACGATATGGTACATTTTAATTGAATTTCAATTTACATCCAAATGTTGCATGACCCAAATCATGAGTAAAAATATCTAGTAAATAAGTACAACATTTGTCATATCTATTTCAGGGGTGGCACAGGCAGCTTCTGTATGTTGGACATTGCTGACTGGGGAGGGATGGGCAACACTGGCAAATAGAGCAGGGAACAGAAAGAGCATCAGCCTGGGCAGGAAGCACAGGGCAGGCAGCAGAAAACAGAGCAGCAGATCGGGCAGGAAGCACAGGACAGGCAACAGAGTGGCAGATTGAGTAAGGAAAAGAGATCAGAGCTGCATTTGGGGAGTGTGAGGCTAATTTTTGGCACACCTGCCAAAAAGGTTGGCCTTTGTTTTCTATTTAATCATTTACCTTTAAAAATGTATACCTGGGTGTCCAGATACATGATGTTAAGCTTTATAATTGCTTAAGTAAATTTGAATAGATGTAGTATGTCCTTTGGACAGCTAAAATAAGCATCAAATGCAGTGGAAAGGCTTTATTTGGTTGCAAATCAGTGTGTTTTTTGTTTGTTTTTTTAACTATGCCTGATACACTGGAGCCCTGATCTGTGACTGAAGCTCTTGGGTATCATGGGTACATAAACAAACAAGTAATACTGGTATTAATGTTTTAATGGCTATGTCAGGCATTGAGAATTAACTTTTCTGTAGGG